ATCTGGTTTGTGAGACATGCCTTGCCTTTAACAAATCTGTGTTGGCTGTCCTTTATTAATCCATATTTTTCTAAGTGAAAATTTATTTTGTCCCGGATTATAATCTCTAGAAGTTTCCCCACTACTGACGTTAGGCTGATTGGCCTGTCGTTCCCAGGTTTATCCTTCTGCCCCTTTTTGTACAGGGGAGTAACATTTCCAACCCTTCAGTCCTCTGGCACCACCACGGCGTCCATGGAGGATTGAAAGATTGTGGCCAGAGCTGCCGCTATTTCCACCCTTACTTCCCTTAGTAACCTAGGATGCATCCTGTTCGGACTGGGTGACTTATCTACCTTGAGCACCAACAACCTTTTTAGCGTCTGCTCTCAGTTTATTCTTATCTTATCCAATTCCTCTACCCTCTCCTCCGATACTGTGACATTGGCTGCATCCTCTTCTTTTATGAAGACAGATGCAAAGTACTCATTCAGTACGTCAGCCATGCCCTCTGCCTCCACAAGAAGATTTCCTCTTTAGTCCCTAATTGGACCCACCCTACCTTTGACTAACCTTTTATTCTTTATATGCTTATAAAATACCTTAGGGTTCCCTAAGGTATGTTACCTGCTAATCTTTTCTTATACAATCTCTTTGCTCCTCTTATTCCCTTTTTCAGTTCTCCTCTATACTTTCTATATTCTATTTGATTATTTTCTGTATTTTGGACATGACATTTATCGTAAGCCTCCTTTTTCTGTTTTATTTTAATCCCAATTTCCTTTGTCAACCAGGAAGGTTTGGATGCCCTACCTTTCCCCTTTGTGGGAATATATTTGTTCCAACCCCGAACTGTCTCCTCCTTGAAGGCCTTCCATTACTCGTTAGCTGTTTTACCCGCCAATCTTTCTTTCCAGTCCACCTTTGCCAGGTCCCTTTTTAACTCACTGAAATTAGCCCTCTTCCAGTTGAGTATCTTTACCTTTGATTGCTCCTTTCCATAAGTACTCTAAACCTAATGATGTTGTGATCACTGTTGTCCAGATGCTCTCCTACTGAAACCTGCTCCACTTACCTTTAATCAATATTGCCACCTCCCTCCTTTTTTCCCTTCCCTATCCCTCCTGAATGGATTGTAGCCCGGAATATTCAGCTCCCATTCCTGGTCTTGTTTGAGTCAGGTCTCTGTTATTGCCATTACATTATAAACCCATGTGGCAACTTGAACCGGCAGCTCACCAATCTTATTTGTCACACTCTGTGCATTTATGCATTTGCACTCCAACACTGACCTAAGTCTTTTCTGCATTTCTCCCCAGTCTAATTCCTCTTTTTATTTGGATTACTCCTTATTACATTGTTATTCGTCACTCCCAGCCCTTTATGTAACTTGTTTGTCCTCTCAAATGTTACATCCTGATTCCCTTCCCCCCTTCAAAATTAGTTTAAATCACTTGTTTGCAAAATGACCTGTGATTCACTGCTACCCAAAGATACCCTGGGTCAGTGAATGAGAAAATGCTATGTCATCATGACACAGCATTACTTATCTTGTACTGGGGAAACTTTCAGCTCCTGACGCCCACTCATTTGCTGCTATTCTTCTAATATTGTCCAATAAAATAGGAATCTCAGTTCAATTGCTCCGCTGGTTAATTGAAGACCTGGCTATTAATGACCCAATGATTTCAAAAAGTCATTTCAGCGCTTAGCTTTACAGAAGGTCAAATGCTTGGTTCTCAGTCTGTACTCTGTGAGCGGACTTAGCTGCAGTTTAGGTACTGAAATTGTCTTCAGTAGCCCTTGACTCGGGAGGATAAAACCATACATCAGAGCTCTTGAACGTAAGACCGACATCCTTGATAGAAAGTGTATCTGCATGCAGGTCAGGCGAGAACAAGATCAGCTTTGATTGAGATGCCCTTCACAGTTGAAAACTCTTTGCCTCATTTGCTGCTCAAGTTCATAAATAAAATACTTGCATTTGGTATAGCACCTTTCACGTCAGGAGCATGTCCCAAAGCACTTTACAGGACATACTGCGAAATGTAGTGACCGTTTGGTGGGCCAAGCCCGCAGGCAATTTTTGCACAGCAATATCCCACAACAGTCATGAAGTGAGTGACAACTTTAATTTGGGGGATTGTTGCCCAGGATACTAGGATAAACTTCCTTCCCTTTTTTGAATAGTGCCATGGGATCTTCTTTATTGTTCATCTGAATAGGGAGATAGGACTTTAGCACCTCTGACATTGTAGCATCCCCCCACTCCCAGCATTGCATTGGAGTGTCAGCATAGACAAGGTGAGCTCAAGTCCTGGTCTGGGGCTTGAACCCGCCACCTTCTGATTCAGAGGCGAGAGTGCTACCACTGAGCCAGACTGACACACAAATGGAAAAAATAGACATTTAAGTGAGTTATCGGGAGGTTACTAGTGCTGGAGAAATGTTTCCCCGCAGGAGTTAGTAAATTCAAGAGGAGAGAAAATTAGACAAAACTAATATTAGTTTGGTGACCCAGTTGTCCTGCCTACATTAGGGATGTGGAACCACTGAGCATACCTGGCTGAATATGCCGCTGACAGAGAATGCGAGATTGTGCCCCAGTTGGTTGATGCCTATACGATACGAGAGAGAACTCAAATGCTGCCCTACTCTCTATTCTCGAGCGGTGACTGAACTTTGCCCAGAGATAAAGTGTTTCATTCTTTCACACCTGAAACTTTGCCTGTTTTTCACTCTGCTAATAGTACAGAGAGCAATGCTCCCTTGTCATTCACAACTTTACTTGTGCTCCATTAGTGCTCAGTGTGAAACTGTGAAGTGCAGCATTGCTTGTCTGCATGGAGACTGGTGAAGAATATAATAACTGCAAAAATAGTGGAAGGTGACATGAATAATTTAATTGGTAATACCTATTCTTAAATGTACTGATTCAAATATGAAATTGTAATTTTTAGTGTATTGTGATGGTCCTTTAGTCAATAGTAGGTTGCAGCCTTTTTTCCCCCAATGTTCAGCTGTCCATTTTATGTTTTGCTGACATGGGCATGAATTTTAATCTTTGCTGCTTTATAGTTATTTAGCAGTTTGAGATATGTTCTACTTCACATTGTGAGTATAAAATATTATGAAAATCCTATTTTAATGGCCTTTTGTCTCCAAATTTAAGATTGTGCATAAATGTTAGAAATAACTTGAATTCAGACATAATTTTTGAAGTTGGTTTTCTGTAGTTCATCCAAAATTGGGTGCCTGAAATGGAAATGTGTTCCATTCCCTGGTGCAAGCATCTTTCACTTTGATGTATAACTATAAAAAAACATGAAAAGAATATTAAATGCATGTTTTATTTGTTCCACATTTATTTGAAAGTATGAAAGGAATAATAAGAGAAGAAAAGAACCCAGAAAATTGAATTGGAAAATAATAATTGAAATCAGAAAGCAGAGGAAATTTAAAAAAAAAATTAACAGTAAAAGCAAAGTACTTATTAGTATCATTCTAGTGTATAATCTGTGAAGCAAAAAATAACCGGGCATTACTTCTATCTACTTGTAAAAGTAGAGTTTATAAGAGGAGTATCTGCATGAACAAAAGACTGGAAAGCAATTTTTGAGGTGCAGTAATGACATTTATTGTGTTGTATCACTTGGGTGCAATGTCATTGTGATGACTCTTGTGACATTCCCCATTTGCTGTGAAATATTGCTTTTGAATCACGATGTGATTCAGGATTTCAATACGTTAGTTCAACATTTTAATGTCAACAAAAACAGTAGAACATACTGAACCACACATAATTTGCAAAAACCTGATTAGTTTTGAAATTGTGCTCCTCTTGCTAAAGGAAATTGGAGACCAGATCTGATTTTATTTGTTCTGCCTTTATACGTGAAATCATATCAGAGTGTTGTATTGAAATTCTAGGCCTGAATCAATACACCAGAGCAATGAATCGGATGTTCTCTGGCACATTGGAATTGAATTAAGGTTGAGTTAGGTATATTGAATGTAGATGGAGCATTATGTCAATACCAAAATACTGTGGGATTCTGTACAATACAATACAAAATTACATTTGTATACCACCCTTCACGTCAGAAGGACGTTCCAAAGAGCTAACGACGTACATCCATGGTGTACATGGACATACATCCATGCAAAATATTGCATTAGATGCTAATGTTATTTTAAAATGCATTTACAAAGGAACAAGGAGGAGCGCTTTCAGCCTATTGAACTGGATTCGCCAGTTTATTTGAGCATGGCAGAATTTATAATCTTATTTCTTGCCTTTACCATGGGGTGCTGGTCCAACGAGGGCCAAACTATGCTATGGGTGCTTGTATAGCAGAGGCCACCCCATGGCATAGCTGCTTGTCCAGCTGGGGACAGGATCCACATTAACACAGGTGCTGCAGAGCAGCCAAATGAGGCGTTTGTTTGTTGGTTTGTTTGTTGTTGTTTATTGTTGTAACTGCACATGAAAAAACAGCTTCGGGCGGGGGGGGGGGGCCCGACCCCGACTTTTTAATTTTTTTATTGAAACCCGAAAAACCTTTTACTTCCCCCTTTTCTTGCACAGTTTCAAAGGCGCTGGCCTACACTGGACCACTGTGCTGCAGCTCAACAGCAACAACAACAACAGCAACAGCAATAATAAAAATAATAATTTGGTCACTTCGATCCGCGGCTGCTCGCGAGGTGCTGCACGCGCTCCGTTGGCCGCCGGGCTTCGCCCACCAAACACACAGTCACTACACTTTACAGTAGCTTCCGTGAAGCGCTGTTGAGACCGCCTCGAAGACCTGATGAGGCTCTCGATCGAATGCAGGGATGATGATATATTATTATTATTATTATTATTATGATTAGGATGAGGATTACCCCTGGGGAGAGGCGGGGCATCCTATTGGGCTATTTTTGGGCTAGTGTTTGCAGGACTTTGGGCTACAAACTGTGTTGACACGGGCTGGTAATAGCCAGCGCCTGACTGAGGCTGCGCCGAGCGGAGCCCCAGCAATGGAGGAGGACAAGGCCTCAGCTCAGGCCCCGGCCCCACTCACAGCCCAGCTCCCGGCCTCCGAGGAGGGTGACCGGCAGAGGAAGCGGGAGCAGGAGAAGCTCTCCGGGGTGGTCAAGAACGTCCACAGGAAACTGCGCAAGAAATACCGAGAAGGTAAACGTGGCTTAACAGAACCCTCCCACACCCCCCCCCGGGGGGGGAGAGAGAGAGAGAGCGATCCCCCCACCCCACCCCCACCCCGCGGGGGGAGAGAGAGAGGGGTGTGGGGGGGGAGAGAGAGAGGGTGGGGGGGGGAGAGAGAGAGAGGGGTGGGGGGAGAGAGAGAGGGGGGGAGAGAGGGGGGGGAGAGAGAGAGGGGGGGAGGAGAGAGAGAGCGATCGCCCCCCCCCCCCCCCCCCACCCGGGGAGAGAGAGAGGGGTGGGGGGGGGAGAGAGAGAGGGGGGGAGGGGAGAGAGAGAGGGGGGGAGAGAGAGAGAGGGGGGAGAGAGAGAGGGGGGGGAGAGAGAGGGGGGGGGGAGAGAGAGGGGGGGAGGAGAGAGAGAGCGATCGCCCCCCCCCCCCCCCCACCCGGGGAGAGAGAGAGGGGTGGGGGGGGGAGAGAGAGAGGGGGGGGAGAAAGAGAGAGAGCGATCGCCCCCCCCCCCCCCCCCGCGGGGAGAGAGAGAGGGGTGGGGGGAAAGAGAGGAGAGAGAGGGGGGGGGTGAGAGAGAGATGGGGGAGAGGAGAGAGAGAGGAGACAGGGGGGGGGGGGTGAGAGAGAGAGAGGGGGAGGAGAGGGGGGGGGTGTAAGAGAGAGGGAGGGAAGGAGAGAGGGGGGAGAAAGGAGAAGGGGTGTGTAGAGAGAGAGGGGTGAGAAATGAGGGGGGGGAAGGGGAGGGAGAAGGGTAGAGAAAAGAGCCAAGAGATCCTGGGGGGCGGGGGTTAGGGTTGGGGGGAGAGACCCCGAGAGTAGGAGACTGGAAGAGGAAAGCAACTTGCATTTGCAGTCTTCCATTGCAGGAAATGAACAGCACATTGAGCAAAGCAGAGCAGCTGTGAATCTGTGCACTGTGCAGCCTATGAATCTGTGCACTGTGAATCTGTGCACTGTGCAGCCTATGAATCTGTGCACTGTATCTGAGATTGTCATCTCACTCTGATTGTTTTGTTGCTGTACATCAGTTGCTTCTCCTCTGTAACCATTTGATTTCCTAAGAAACCAAACATAGAAACGGTGCTGAATTGATTTTGAAGCATTTACAGTAATTCCATCGCTGCCCTTTTGTCATCTGAAGGTTCTGTCTTGAAAGCGTAGCATTTATATTATTTGTGTGAGATGGTGTTTGGCCTATTGTGAATTTCCAGTATCTGATGTTAAAGTAATCCAAAATATTTACTTTTCTGCTTTAAAAATATGTTGGATCTTTAAGAACAACAGGAGCTATCTATATGCTACACAGACAGTGAGTGTCATGACCAGAGTAGTGTGTAATCTGATAACTCATGAATGTGCATGTCGTGGTTTATCTGACAAGTGTTAATTTTTTTTCCAAATGTTATGTACACTGTCAGCCACTTCACCTCTTTCAAAAACCCTTCTTAAATGCCTACTCATTTCACTGTGCCTTTGGTCAACTCTCTCCTTACCCATTTTACCACATTACTTGGGTTTCCAGTCCCTCTCTGTGAAGTGATTTGAGTGGTTTTCCTGTGCAAAGGTACTATATTATGCCCATTCTTGTCATGTCATAGTTACAAGTTGTTTAAACTATTTTAAGAGTTGGTAGATCAATATCTGTTGAGAAAGGCAATTGACAGTTATAAGGATAGTCGTGGGGACTTGAAAGGCACCTTTTAAGTTAGCAGATCGAAAGTAGGGAGGGAGAGTTGTCATGTCTTGTCTAAGCTTTGATGAAAAACTGAACGGGTTGATGAGCTGAATAGTCTTCTCATTCCAGGTTTCTTTAGGTCCTTATGTATGCTAATTAGTGTCAGGTTCCTTGCAAAACCAAATGACTTTTAAGATAACAACAACAAGAAGATTATATTTGTATCGCGCCTTTCACGCCGGGAGGACGTCCCAAGATGCTGAAAGAACAACAATGTGTATTGAAAATATGCCACTCCGAATTATTGAGCATAATATTAATTTCAGTATTTTCCTCACATGTAAATCTCCACTGGGTATCCCTTTTGGATAAAAAAAATTGTGACTTGAATATGGCTTTTCATTGGGGTAGAGATTCCTCATTCCTTTCAACCATGCCTCCATGTATACGCACACCACAATTTTATCTTCCTTTTGTTTGAAGGTGGTAACTCAATAACAACAACATTTGTATAGCATCCTTCAGGCAGGGTAGCACGTCGGAATGCTTAAGAGTACCAGAGCTTGCGTCAAGCCGGGGAAAGAGGGGTACTCAAAGTGGAAGGTCTTTAGATTCAAGTTGAAGATGACAGGACGATTTCAGTTTAGAGAAATTTAAAGTTTTTCAACCACAAACGTGCTAGCTGCGTTTTGTATGTGCATATATGTGTGTGGTTTTTCAGTTTGTTACTTTGTGTAGTAGTTCAGGGCTAAGGATGAACTGTGCCATACTTATAAAATCCTGCAGATACTTAAGGAACTTCTTTGTAATGATGGATTCAATTAATTAATTCTGAATCATTAGTCTTCTTTCACAGCAATACACAGAAATAGTTTAGAATGCCAACCTGTATAAAGAACGTAGTAGACATTGTGAATACCTATTTCATTTTTTTTGTAATGGCATTTACAGCAGCAAAACATTCTTTGTATAAACTTTACTGTGGTGCTGCAAAGCCTTTCAAAACTCATAAGCAGGTTGAGTTCACTGCTAAAAATAACACGTGATTTAAACTTCTTAATTTGATTGAAGGCTTCACATAGTGAAAAATTGTAAATCGAACTGCAGCCAAACTGGTGTGTACTCAGCTTGTTTGTGGCTTTTGCTGGGAGACGACTTCTGAGCTGCAGTATCATACCAGTAGTCTCTGTATGAGTTGGTCAAATTTTTAAATTTAATGTAGTTGGCCACTTCTACATTTTTAATGTCAGCAAAAAGACAAGACAGATCCCATTTTACTAACATTAACAGAATTCACTGTCATTCGAGTATCAAAACTCTGCAAGTGTTTTTAAATGCATCCCCACAGAACTTTCAGCTAATAATCGGTTAAAATAAATTGATGACTCAATTCACGACTGTTTGTAGGACTGCTGTGTGCAATTGGCTGCCGTGTTTTGCCCTCAAAATTTATACAGACAATTCACTTTACAGTATATTCTGTGAAGCATTTTGTAAAGGATCAAATTCAAGAATTATTATTATTATCAATCTGTTTCAGAAACAAAGATCTCAATCAAGTGCCTAAGATGGTGGAAAACTGTCTGAACCAAAATTTTAGCAATAACTTTGAAAAATTGTTCAACACTGTTGTGCACTTGAAAATCATTAGCATCAACTGATGATGGATGGTACCAATTCCTTATTGTTCCTTTATTTGGCAGTGGCACTTTTCCAAGTGTTGTTTGGCTCTGATCCATCAGCTCCAACTGTAGATGCTAAGTCTGTCTATCAGTGCATTGCAATAGAACTGCAAAGGAGGTTATCTTCAATTTTGGACAGTAATACTACTGCACTTGTTTTTTTTTGCCATTTTCCTTGCAAAAAAACTGATGACCAAAATATGCATTTCTGGTTATTCCCACAATGGATCTCTTGTATTTTTGTCATCAGTAAAGAACCCTTCAATCTAAGACACCTGTAGATCTTCTGAATAAATACCTTTGTGAAGGAATTGACATCAGTCCCTTATGTCCAATCTATTAATGAACATTCACCCTCTGTGATTGGAGATTGATCACTGTTCATGCTTGCTGTTCATTATAGACGGTGACCATCTTTAGAGGTATGATTTCAATAAATGTAATGCACTTTCTTATTTTGTGAGTTTGACTATCAGAGACTCTTCCCTTGGGTCCTGACTTTCATTACAACTGCATGCTAATTTCCCAACTTCCCCAAGTTTTGCCTTTTTAGTTTTTAGTTTGTACTTTCTATATTTCCCAGCCTCATTGAAGGAAAGGTTTGGGTTCAATATCCTTGCTTGTTTTTTTAATCCGCCAGGTCTTCTCTGACCACGGTAACTATTCCTTCCCCTTTTTTAAAGGGAAGACATTAAAATATATAAAGTATATATACTTCTAAAAACTATGAAAATGTGTGATGAAAATGCTTGCTTCCACGATAAAGCAAATTTAAAAATACCACACTTGCACTTTTTTTAAAAAAAGTTTCATTTTTGGTTCAATATTGAATCTCTTAAATTTAGATGACATTGGCATTTGCTTATGTCAATTTTTTTTAAAGGTAAATTTCGCACTCCTTTAAAATAAAACTCTTGTACTTGTCTGTGGAGCCAGGTGCAGGCTTGACTGAGAACTGATGAAATATGTAGTCAGCTGAAGTGAATGCATTTGAATCCTCTTTGCCCTGGACTTGAACAAAATATTGTTCTAACTGGGACTTCAGGGCTCAGTCGCTTTTGTTCGACTGATCAAAATGATGATTTTGTTTCAAAAAGCCAATTCACCATTTATTATTTTACATAGATAATGATATGTGCAGCCTGACTAAAATTACATGCAGAACCATTGTTCCATTTGATGCTTTCAGCATTGTAAGTGAGCTGAGGGGAAAAAAATCCAGAGCAGCATATAATTTAAAAGATGCAGTTTAGTCATGTACATTTTTCAGCCCCCACCTCCCCCCCCCCCCCCCCCCCCCGGAGTTCTTGTACTGTGGTACCGTTCAATGGGTCACATAATGTTGCTTTGTCAAGAATATTTAAGAAGCATTTCATTATCTTAATGATCTCTAATGCTGATGTCTCCGATCATTTTCCACTGATTCATTTTTAACTGTTCAGACGTTTGCTCTCCCAAGTGTTCAGTGTTTTGTTTTTAAGGAAACTAATTGGTCACTCCCTTTGACAGTGTAATAATGCATCTATTCATTATATCACTATTTTTTCATACCTTTGTTCTTCGGCATTTGTTGCTGCATTTTTCACGTATTCGATTTACATCTCCAATTGTTTTTTGCTGATCAAGACAACTCTGTTCAGTTTATTCCCTTTTGTATTGAGTTTTTCTTCAAATGCTATTTGAGCCTCATTAGCCTGCACACCTGGCTCTGAATTGTTTGAATACCAACTTGTTCTTGAAAAACATTGTGTGCTTAGTCAGAAATAAAATAAAAATCTATTGGGGAGAAAAATCATTAAGTGTGGGCAGAAGAAAGATTAAATAATCTGTTTCACCAATTTTTCTCCTCCAATTTCGTCCCTTCAGAAGGCTGTCTGAATCCTTGTTTTTGGGCTATGGTTCCTATTTTCTCCCAGTACCTTTCCCAAACACCATTATTCATTTTTAGGACTACTGTATTTCACTCCTTTTTACTGAGGTTGAGGTTTGGCTGAGGTAAGAAAGAAATTATCTTGTATGGTTATAGAGCCTTCTTTGTATGTCAAAATATTTCGAGGCGCTTTACAGGAATTCTTGTCAAGTGTAGTGACTTTTTTGTTGGCAAATGTGGCATCTGTCTTGCACACAGCTAAACCCCACAAGCAGCCATGAGGTGAATGACTTAATTAATCTGGAATATTGTGATGCAGTTTCATGATTGTTGCGTGGCCCTTAGGTACCTTGCCCAATTGGCCTTTTTTAAAATTCATGTATGAACTTTAACTGAGTGTCAGCGGGCTTGACTGAATAACTCACTGACTGACTGCAGGGGATTGGATCGATCCAGACATTTGCAAGTACACTTCCAACAGAAGGGGGAGCTGGCCAGAGGCTAATTTGAAGTGGTGGGTTTCAAGGCAGGATTTAAGGACATAGAGATGGGGTGAGACATACGGATAGAGGGAGGGAATTCTAGAGGTTTGGGGCATAATATATGAAGGATTGGCTATCAATAGTGGCACAGTGAACCCAGGGGATTTGCAATAAGACGAAATTTGCTAAGCAGTGGAGTTGGGTAGGAAAAGGTTGCAGAGATATAAGGAGCTGCTGGGGGGTGGAGGGATTTAAAAGTACAGTGTGCCATTTTATTCTTTTATACTAATATTTTATGTCATAAGCCTGGTTTATTGGGAATCATTTGTAGCAATGTAGGATGAGCATAACTCCTCCTGACTCAAAATCGTGCAGCTCTCAAGATGGGGGTTGAAAAATTAAGAGATGTATAGTATATGGACTCATTCAAGGCTGCTCAGAAAATCAATGAGAAACGAAGTACAAGGGATAAATGTTAAGACTCGTTATGCCTAGTGAAGAACATGCTCACTGTTGTGTAGATTCAAGTTAAACTATATTGAAAATAAAGAAAGGAGCTAAGGATTAAAATGTGTTCTGTGAGGACTTTGGCGTTTGAGCCTTCAGCCTCTCTGCCCCTACCCTTTGGAACTCCATCCCACAGTCCCTTCACCTTGCTCCCTCTGTTGCCTCCTTCAAGGCACATCTCAAGACCCTCTTCTTCGACTGCGCCTTCAGCTGCCCTCCTACCCCTTTCCCTCCTGTGCTTTCAAGTACAAAGTCAGTTTCCCCACCCCCCGATCAGGTCCAAATCCCTGACTGTTCAGCATCTTGGGACATCCTCCCGATGTGAAAGGTGCTATACAAATGTAATTTGTTGTTGTTGCATTATTTCTTTCGGTTGGTAGAAACCTTACAGATATTTGAACACATTTGTTGGCAGGTGATATCAAGTTGAACTGCATGTGGAATCCACATTCTTACAGCTAAAATATGAACTGGGCCAAAGACGACAAAAGTTCTTTTTATGCCTGAAATGTGTTTGGGTCTTGGCAAGTCATGTTTTTTTTGCCTTCAGAATGTTTCGAAGTAAGAGCTTCGAATTTCGAATTCCTCTTTCTCCTGACCATCTAAAATTTGCCTTCCTTCCTCGCAGTGGGAGATTTTGACAAGATATGGCGTGAACATTGTGAAGATGAAGAAACACTGAGTGAATATGCGGTTGCAATGAAGAACTTGGCGGATAATCATTGGTCCAAAAGCTGTGAGGGCGAAGGGCGGATTGAGTGGTGTCGAAGGTATGATTCAAAACAAATTGCAATAAATTAGGTTTCTTTTTAAGGATAAAAACAAATAACTGATTTTGTTCAGAAATATTATAATATTGTTCATATTCTGCATTCTTCCTCATTCAATGCAAATACAAATGCAAAATTGTTGTCATCTTAAAGGAAAACAATAGGGGGAAACTGCCCCTTAATATCTTTTGTCATACATGCATCGGGTACTCTTCTTCTGCTTGTAATAGAACCTAGCAGAGGTTTCATTTTGGACTAGGTGGACTTAGACATATCGTATACCTTCTCAGGTTTTCATTTTCTTTCCCCTTCATAAAAACAGTATAAGAATGCTCAGGGCAATTTGCAGACTGGATACAGAACATAACAGCTTATAAGTTATTTTCCTGTGCTTTCAAGTACAAATTCAGTTTGGCAAATACTCAATATAGGAAACCCTTACAAGACTTCAGAAAAGAAAATTGGACTCTCAGATAAAAACATTTGAGCAAGCATGTTATTTATTTGAAGCACATTTTATTATTAAAAGTTACTCACATCAGATAGTGTGAAAGCCTTTATCCCAACAGTTGACATTGTCCGAATAGCCAAACTACTGCTTCCCAAGGATACTTTTGATATGAATCAAGGAGACAGTCAAAAGTATTTTGTTTCACATGCAGACATGGCTAAACATCTCAAAATGTGCAGTAGAACTACAAAACTAACCTCTTGGAGCAACTGCTCTCAACGAAATGTCTCTGAGAACTGAGCATTCAATGCTGATGGACAGAATTAAGAAGAGCCTCTTCTTAATTAAGAAGTTGCATGGTCCTTTGGAGGATATTTCTCCCATTAGACAACTAGAAATTCCATTGGTACAGGAACAATGGAGTTTGTTCAAAGAATGAGGAAGATTTTGAGGTAGGTGATCTATTTCAGGATGCTGCAATTAGAAATAAAACAGCTTTAATGTTTCTTACAGAGGAAATTTCCCTCTTACGTTTACTCTCATATTAAAATGCACAATAGCTTTCCTAACACAGTCTGTCTTGTTGGTTTCCAGCATTTTTTCTGGGTTGGCTGGAATGACAAAATGCAAAAGCTTATATATTGCAGGTTTCCTTTTTCTTTCATTCCTTCAGATACATGATCAGATAGCAGGCAGGTCATCTGTTGTTGATATCTGCCCAACAACACAAACACTAATTTGTATAGTGCCTTTCAGGAGGACGTCCCAATGTGCTGGTGGTTGGGATCAGTAGGGGTGGAGGGAGGGGAAGGTAGGGGTGGGAGGGTGACCTACCATTTCTGACCTAATGTTGGAAGCACCTCTATGTTGTGTGGTCAGTAATAATAATAGTCAATGGCCAAAATCACTGCTAGGTAAAATAATTAGTATTTTTAAAATTCTAACTAATGCTGCGAATGGAAATAATAAAACAAGGGCTTAGAAAATCTTGATTAGTTCTAACTGGAAATTATCTACCACTGTCTTTCTTATTATTGGCATATCTCCCTTAAATTTGTTAGCTTTCTGGTCATCATCCATGGCTGTATCATTATTGTATGAGAGCTAGGAAGCATTGTGAAAGAAGTTTAAAATCTTATGTGACTTTCATGAGGCATAAATCTTAACTCTTTTAATATTATATCACCCAAGAGTTGCCTATAAATTTTCATTGATCAATTTAAAAAAAAACTTTGCTTATGTAATTGGACAAAGTATGAAACTAAGAGATTAAATTAAAGGGAAAATTAAGTGAACTCCTGATAATAAGACCCTATCCTATATTATCACATGGCTTATACCATTATATTGTCAATATCCTGGCTGCTTCCCATACAAAATGTGAATAAGGATTTATTTTATCACTCGCTTATAACAATTAAAGTTGCACCCATACATCTCAGTAAGTATCGGGCATATCATTGGAACAAATTAGTACCGATCACCAGCCGTGCCGCGCATTGGAACCGCTCAGCGAATTTTCGCACGAGCAACTTAGCGTGGGCGGGAGGGGTGGGGTGGTATTTGCGTGTTTTTTCTTCTCAATACGTAAAGGGGGTGGTGTTGTTTAGCTATTCGACTTGAGATGTAAGGGGAGAGCAGTGGGTATTTTTGCAATTCGGAATGTAGGGACGGAGGGCTAGTTGGATGTTTTTTAAACTCGGTACGTTAGGGAGCTATGTGTTTTTTGGGGTTCGGGATGAAAGGGGGGGGTTGTGTATTCTTTGGATTCATGTAAAAGGAAAAATGAATCAATTTACTCATTTAACCGAAGTTGCAATTCAAAAGTGTGGCACATTAGAAAACAGATTTTTGCTGACTGGAGTGTAAAAATGTATGGAAATCATCCAGGAAGTTCATGAAATATTTGAATGCAATTGGTCAGGGTTAAAAATTAGTTTAAAATGTTGGCTGCCACTGTGTTCTGAGTATAGAGTTGGAAAGTGAAGTGAAGAAAAGAACATTTTGCAAATATTTATTTTTTATTTTCCACCTCTTGGTGCATCTCATTACTTTTAAAGTTTGTTAAAGTCTTTTGTTTCTTGACTTGCCATCTATATTCATTTAAGGGTTCCTCTCCCAGCCCATAGTTTCAGTTCTGATGAAAGACCTTGTTTGAAAAACATTTTTTTAATATATACCAATTAGAACTACCTGGGCCTATAGGCAGGATTCTCATTTCCCATATTTGAATGAATGAGGCAAAGTGAGTAAAATGTTAATGTACAAAGTGGCTTAGATTCAGTCAATGGTCCAGCTGACTAAATATTAAGTTTAGCAATTGAAGGATAATTGTTTTTTTGCACCACATTGCATATCACAAAATATCTAATTTGTTGTACGGACATATTCTTCCCATGGATTGAAGATCTCATTGAAATTGTCAGGTTTGCAGTTGAGAGGACCGGATAATTTCTTGTATTTACTCTGTCTTGACTATCTGGTCTACTTCTGCACAATGCAGTGAAATATTCTTCAACTGTGGGAGGGTTAGCTTGAGATTCTGTTGAAAGGTACAAGGAATAACAAAACCTCAAGACTGTGACACGGGCGGTTACTAAACTTTGTCCCGAGAGATCAAGTCCAGCTCTTCACAGCTCCTATCTTAGCTATTTTGGAGGCACTCATTTGTATTATTCTACTTTACATTGGATCAGAACAGTGTAATTTTCTGTGGACTGATGGAAAATCAGAGGATTTAAGGGTTTGTTCAAGGTTAGAGAAACAGTCTTGTGGACACAGATGCTGTTGAGGACCCCAGTGATTGAAGAGGGAACCAATAGGCCTGAAACAGATGGGTTCTATTTCAGTAACTTCCAAGAAGTTGGATTTTGTTCAGTCCTAGGTCTGAGAATACTCCTTAACAAGCAAGTGGTGTAACTGCTGCAAATTATGCCTTATGATCTGCTCTGTTTTGCTCTTAATTTTTTTTATAAACAATAATGTTTTGCTTGTTGTTGGATAATTTGAGGAAGAAAGCAAGTTAATATGACCGTTTGGACAAACCCACACGAGGTCAATTTTTAATATCTTACCCCCCCACCCCTCATTTCTCAGTTTGAATTTAACCATCCAATCATTGCACCAAACCACAGTTAAAGAAAGACCTAACTTGTATCAATACCAGGACACTGATTATTTGACAACACATTTGAAATTTACATCAGACATACACTTACTAGCTTCCAAGTTAGCCTTGTATTTAACACCATAGTAACTTGAGAACACTATATATGGACTGCATGCATACAATGTTTGATTTTAAAAACAAAAGCAGACATTCACTTGAAAGACAACAAACTACTCCTGCCAAGGTTATTCACTTTGAAAAATTAATTTAACTTCTGCATTGATTGCCTGATGTCAAAATTTCAAATATTTAAGCAGTACAAAAACTAGGAAGAGTTAAAACACAGATACCATGTATTTGTAGAAAATTCTGCTTTGCATGCAATGTGCAGGTAACTTTGAAATTGAGAAAAAATAGCACTGGGTATATAACAGTTTGCATTTGTATAGCACACATTATGCAGGATAGTGTCTCAGACAGCTGTAGAGCAAGGCTAGTGCCAGATTTCAGTGACGCTTGTATTGCATAAATAAGGCTTCTCTAATATTGTGCACAATTTCAAGGATTCCCTCCTCCTGCATTTTATTTATTATCATCCCTCTTCATTTATACCCTCACTTGGATGGTGAATGTTTATTTTTGTAGTCTTAACTTGTCTCAGCTCTGCCATTCCTTTAAGCTTGATGTGACATTAAAATTGCATTTCTTGTGAATGGCAAGTCCAGTCAACTTATCAATAAACTGAGCTGTTGCTCCCTTGCAAATCCAGCCCAAAAGCAGGAAATGCACGGCGGGTTAATGAAACTGAATCCGCTCCCCAAAATAAGCTGGTAAATAAAGGCACTGCCTGGTTCAGCACAAAAAAAGGTTCACACTTGTTATCCGACCAGAAAGCTGCAGGTTTGAACCCATGTCTATGTAGTTCATTGATCTCAGCTGTTGGAATTTTTTTTTGAAAAATATTTTTGAACCACCCTTTCAGGCAGTGCATTCCAGATTTTAAAACCTCGCTACATAAAAACATTTCTCCTCATCTCCCCTCTGATTCTTTTGGTAATTATCTTAAATCTGTGTCCTCTGATTACTCTGATCCTCTGACTCAACCACCAGTGAAAACTGTTTCCCTTATTTACTCTATCAAAGCCCCTCAGAATTTTAAACAATTTTATTAAATCTCCCCTTTACCTTCTTTGGTTTAAGGAGAACAATCCCATCTTCTCTTGTCTCCCCAAACAAAACTCAATATGTAAATTGTATTGTACTCCAATGGTGGACGAAATAAGTTTCAGGAGAATTTAAAAAAAACAAAGTCGCCTTTATTTATATTTATTTTAATCCATCTGATATCCTTAGTAGCCTACAGTTCAACATGGAGCAATGTATTGCACCAATTGTTCATGTTCAGATATAACAGTTGAAATGTCTTAATGCATACCAGAG